CTTTGAACCCTTCTTTGCCAGGGTTGTTGATAAAACCCAGGCCTCACAAAACCTTAGGGAATGTGCTATTCCAACCCACATAAGAAATCTTCAAAAAGTTCATGTAAATGCATATTATTTAAAAACACCATGTAGGGATTTTTTTTAAAAATGTTTGTTGCAAATAAACTTACCTTAATCAGATTTTCCTATGTATTTATTAAAGTATCCTTGTATTCTTGGTTGGGCAAGTGTGTTTTCCATAGAGCTGGTGAGTAATGTCCTGAGGGATGCTTTTGAGAGATGATGACCACCCCTGCTTCCTCCTTGGACTTCTCCTTCCCTCCTCTAAGTAATTCCTCCATTGTCTGGTCAATGTACCCTAAGGACTCTGCTCTAATTGTCAAGGCTGTTTGCCTAATGGTGAACCCTAGCCAAGGGCTGACATATCCTCCATGTATGGTTCAACTGGATGTTCCCACTTCAAAATACCCACCAACCCATGAAAGACGATGACTCACCCTCAAGATCAGCAGGACCACAACATGGGTCTACCACCCTCATAAAACAGTCACGCACAACCATCTTTGGGCTGCAAAAAAATGAACTGATTGGTGGAACTGGTTTTTGAAAATCTCCTTAAAGACTCAGCTCAGGGATAACTCTGCCTACTTTCCTGGTCTATCCACTCTGGATACACCACCTGTCTTCTGTATCCCTATTTCTGCTACCACTCAGATTTCTTCCCTGACTCCTGTCATTCTCTCAGCCTCTCCTTACTGTAAGCTCCTAGAGCTCATAAACAAGAGTTATGAGTCATGAACTGTTTGTGAGTGAATCACAGCACCTCAGGGAGACACTCAGTGTGGGGATGCCCCTCTGTGGAGATTTGACTGAATGACCCGTGGAAGGCTGCCTCATTGGCTAGCTTCCTGTTTGTGGGGGGAACAGGCCGACCATTAGGAGCAAACACAGTATGGAGAGGGCTGGTTGAGAAAACACCATGGTTCTTCTGATTATATAAATGCAACATGGTACCATCCCATTGTCAGGGGCAAGAATGTAACTAGGCCTATTATGATCTGACTGTAAAAACCATCCACTTAAAAGGGAGAGCTGAGGGAGAAGTTAGTGCTCCCAGAGCTGGATTGAACTCCAGAAAGCATCTGTGACTGTGAACCAAGAGTGCTTTAATTTCATAGCCCAACTGTAGAGCCCCACAGCACTTGTTCTGGATCTGGTTTCTCAACAGCTCTCTGGGAATCATGCGAGCCCAGTCTTTAACAGATTATGCAGTAGCAAGAAATACTAGCAGTGGCTTGATAATCCTCACCCCATAGCATACACACACACTTTACATTGAAGTACCTGGAGATTCTTAGACAAATATTTGGAAGGACCCTAAAGTGGGAGATTTGGAACCACCTACAAGGAAGCCAGATGTATGCTTGAACGAAGAACACTGTGGCTATATGTCAAGCTCTGAGCAACATGGAGTGTTTCTATTAATTGCATGAAGAATCTAGAATCCAATCAAGTGTTCCTTGCCATTCAGATGCTATACTGGATGGTTCTTCTCCCCATCCCCAACCCCTACTACTTAAAAAGTGTGTTCAGGATTGGGAATACATGTGGGTGAAAACAGTTGTTTCTTGGGATACCTGCACCCTGTGTCTAAGTGCCTGGTTCAAGTCCTGACTCCTTTGCTTCCAATCAAACATCCTGTTAATGTACATCATGGGACCCCCAGGTACCTTGGTTCCTGCCACCTCTGTGGGAAACCTTGACTGAGTTCCAGAGTCCTGGCTCTGGCTTGGCTCAGCCCTGACTATTAAAGATGTTTGGGGAGTAGAACAGTGGGTTAAAGATCTCTGTCTCTTTGGCTTGCAAATGAGATGGAAATGAACAGAATTATTTTTTTAAATGTGTTCACTGACCCTAAGTGTCAGCACCAGAAAAGGATGTACTGTGCCCTCTGCATATACCTCCCACTCCTATAGTCCTCTAAGAAGGCTGAGTTTTATTTGGGAGTCACTCTGACCGGACTGCAGTTCTTGCTGGTGGTGTGTGAGGGCTGAATGTGTGGTGGGCAAGGTTAGGATGTGCCACAGCATCCATTGGCTTGCATGAGATGGATGCTGGAGACAGAACTGACTGAGTAACTGTAACCACTGATGTGTGTGTATGCTGTTGTGAGTGATGGACTGATCTGAACTCCACATTGGCTTGCACACACAAGAGCCAGGTCCGAGGTCACCTTTGGTGAGGTTTCTTTGGAGACCTCCTAAATGGACCACTGGACTCAAAAATTCCAACCACAGGATTTGTGGTCTGACCATGGAGTGCATGTGTCAGAGCTGGGCCTCCTCATTTGCTGAAACCCGTGCAGTAGACAGCATTCCCAGATGCACATGGCAGACATGTCTGATCATTGAGGCCTGCAGAGAATACAGGAGGGCATGAATTATGGAGGGCAGAACAAATTGAGCAACTTTCCTGGCTAAATTCTGACAGCAAGTACCTAGGCGAGTAGAGACTCAAAGGTGGACTATGCCAACTGATGGACCTTGAAGCTACCGAAATCACTTCAGCATCACCCTATGAATATGTTCCACATCAGGGACCCTAGGATGACATTGAGTGGTCGCCCCACATTCTAGGGTACTGATGCAGTTAGGCTGCAGGGAGCAACACTCTTCCCTTCTGCAGATACAGGAAGACAAAAAGGTTGGAAACAATTGTCTTATCCAATTTCCTTCACTCCTTGACCCACCCTCATCAGTGGGTCACATGGGCATCCGTTCTTCTCAACTATGTGAACATCATTAAAAATAAAATAAAATTTAAACAGAGAGAGAGAGAGAGCTATGTTCTAGCTGGCAACTTTCTGGCATTTGCTGTTTTAAATGTTTCAAGTAACAGTTCCTGTTTTCCTGCATCCTCTCCCATCTTGGGCTGAGGTGGTGCACATTAGTGACCACAATATGATTTTGTGGCAGATGCAGAGGATACAGGGACTTCTGAGCCTCAGTCCCTAAGTCCATGGTCATGGCTGGTATATATCATATATCTCAGTGAGGTTGGGAATCTCTTTAAGATTTCAAAGGAAAGAGAAGGAGAAGAGATGTTTTTTCTGCTCTTTGTGCCTATGACAAATAGGAAAGTGTCTCCTTAAAAGTGTACCAAGGAAATAGAATGATGTCCCAGCGGACCAGAAGGTGTGGAACAGGTGGTCATGTTGCTTCTTGTTGTGCAGCAGTGAGTGTGCATGGTAGATCCAGGGGATGACTCCAGTTTTCCAAAATCACATCACCTCCCGATAGCCGCCCAACCCCAGTAGACTCCCAACTTTTTGGCACAAATACTTCCAGCCCAGAATTGATTCTTTCAGGAATCTGAGGTGTGTCCTGGAACATTCTACGTTGTTGGGAGCAGATACACTTTGAAAACCATCCCTAGAAGATCCAGCCTAAAGATAGTCCATGACTCACTTGGTAGGCGGTAGCAAGGGAGGCTGGACTCAGACACCAATTGTAGAAAACACTCTACTATCTCCTCCCCTCGCCTCTTCCCCATTCCTCCAGAATAGCCCATTGTCAATTCTTCCAGCCTCAGACTCCATGTATCCTCACGCAATGGAACCACTCCTGGGGAGCACCATCAGGCTGTGCCCACGGTGGAAGTTAATCGAGGTTAATCATAAATGATGGCACTACCACAAGTCTTACATTCTGGCTACTGTGCCCACCATTCTCTCCTTTTGTTCTCCACATGTTCCTGAGGTTCTACAACCATCTCTCTGGTTTCACAGATCCTTGGCTGGAAGCACTGTGGAAAGACTAAAGATGACAGGTGACAACACTCCCTAACCCCAAGAAATTCAACATGTCTCTTCTATAGATACAGCCCAGATTCTATCCAAAGGTATGATTTCTTTTTTAACCCATCAGCCTGATAAAAATATCCCCTTCTAAACTGTCTCCAAATTTCCTTCTTTTTTCCCCATGAAAGTCCCTTTTCCTCTTGGTTATTGTCTCTTTCCCCAACCCACATACAATTCATCACCTTCCACATCAGATTGCCTACAGAACCCCCCACACCAATTCTTACTACAAAGGGAGAACTCTTTCCATAAATCTACACTAATTGTTCATGATTCCTCATGTTACAGCTTTATCTAGTGAAACTTTCCACTTTGTCTCATTTTGCTATTTCCAAGCCAAAGCTTACTTTTTAACCTTTAACTCTGGTTCCATTGTGAACATTTTCAAATATACACAAACATAGAAAGAAGTACACTGACTCCCCATGTGCCCATGACCCAGCTTTGACACCCCACAATGGTTGGCTAAACATGACAATCTTGCCTCAAATGTATTCCCAATTCCTTCCCAACTCTTCCTCCAGTACTACCACTAGATTGCTTTAAACCAAATGAACAGCATTGTATCATTTTACCCAAAAATAATATACTACATATCTGTAAAACATAAGGGATCTTTAAAAAAAAAACAAATATAGCCATAATGCCATATAACACCTAAGTAACACCAAACATCTAATACTACCTAATGCTCAAACTTTCCCAATTATCTGATCAAGATTTTTTTCTATCTGTTTGAGTAAGGGCACAAATAAGTCTCTCTATCACACACACACACCTACCTACACACTCACATGCATTGTATTTGATTCATATTTTTCATAGCTTTGAAAATTAGTAATAGTCTCTCCCTGCACACTACCTCCAATCCCCACAACCTGCCATTTATTTGTAGAAAAAAGTGAGGCTATTCATCCTTCAGGGTCTCCCGATTATGGGTTTTTCTGATGGTTTTTAATGCTGTGTTGTGGATAGCTCAGGTTTCCTCTCTGAAGAATGAGGAATAATACCTTTCTGTTTACTTCACAGTGTTATCAATATTATCAGTGTCAGGTAACATAATGCATGTCATGTTGTTCTACTCAACAAAGAAATTGTTTTTTAACAGTGTCCTGAAAGAGAATACTTCACATGGCAGTGCTTGCATACACATTTATTAGGATATAGCCAAGTGAAATGTGTTAACTCTTCTTCATGGAGCAACCTTCTTTATTGGTGTGTAACAATACCCAAGGGCTGGCTACACCACATAATCAAAATCAAATGCCAACTTTTCACAGTCTTGACCAAAATAGTACAGCCCCCAAACACCATCGTATACTGTGACAAATCTGAGCATTTCTTAGTCTGGCTTTTTATTGTTCTTGACATATAATTTTCATGTTAATTCTCATTGCAGATCCACATAAAAGAGAAACAAAAAAGCAACAAAAGCTCTTTCTAGTTCAGCAGAAAGTAGAGCTGTCAGTGTGTGGGACAAGGCAGTATCCAAATTGCAGCTGTTTTTTATCCATAATTATCTACATAAGAAGCATGCTGTCATTCCTAGGGACTCTCATCATGCATGCACATACAAGCAACACTGAGGTCTAACATGCAGTGGGAGATGACACGCAGCACCTTCTTTTTACTCTGGGTCCTTATCCTCTTCCGAAAAATGGGGGACAGACTTTTTGGCAACCACATTATCCAGTCTCTGTCCTTGTAGATATGGATTGACACTCTGGAAAAAAATAGTTTGGTGTTACATGTGAACATACAACACAAGCATTTCACAGAGGAAGTAAACAAGAATTCTTTTTTGCCTACTGGATTCAAAAAGCAGTGGTGGAACCTACAGCCTACCAAATCACTTTTCTAATGCATTAATGAGCAGCTCAGTGTTCTATGAAGTATTTATTGTCTGACAAATGTCTCTTTCATACAACTACAGAGTTCTTTATAAGTTATAAGGTGATCTTTCTAAAAATTATTTTTGTTGCAAAGATTTGTAGTTAAAAGTCTTTATTTTTCAATGAACATTTTAAAGCTTGTTCATACTTTTTATTTCAAAAATTACCCTCTAAGGTTATCAGGCCTAACCTAAAGGAACATATCAGAATCTTTGGGTAGTTTGAGACTAAAAAAGTATATTTGATACCACAAATATTTCCTTTTATAGTAGCAGTAATATGTATTATAAAAATCCTATTACATTAAAAGAGATTCACATTTTATGAAATAAATTAAAAGGTTGATAAACATAAAGTCAACATAGTTTCCTAATGGGTAAAACTGCCACCTGCAATGCTGCCATCTTATATGGGCACCAGTTCCTGTCCTGGATGCTCCAGTTCTGATCTAGCTCCCTGCTAAAGGTCTAGGAAAGCAGTGGGAGATGGCCCAAGTGATTGAGAGATCTGGATGAAACTCCTGTCTCCTGGCTCCGGCCTGGCCCAGTGCTGGCCATTGTGTAAACCAGAGAATGGAAGAGCTTTCTCTCTCTCTCTCTCACTGCCTTTGAAACAAATAAGTAATAAATCTTTGTTATGAAAAGGTTAATAAACAATTTAAATAAGAAAAATTGTATAACTCAAACATTACCGAGATACAGCTAAAAATTTGCAAACTCATTTAAAGGTGAATGACTTTTTCTTTGTGAGTTAATTGGATTTGCTAAGTATAGTAATTGTATGGGGCTCTAGGTCATTATATTTCATAAAAGGAAGCCCTTCTGTCCAGATCCAGAAAATGCCAAAAGTTTGGTGTTGGGTGGTGGGGAGCAGAGAAGGAAATAAATGAGGAAGAAACAGAAGTCTCTTACATGGATAGCAGGGACCAAACTATTTGAAGCCATCATCTGCTGCCTGCCAGGGTGCTCCTTAGCCAAAAGGTGTAACATGAAATGGTGGAATCAGAGCTCCAAACCAGGCACTCTGGCATAGGAGGCAGGTTCCCAAGCAAAGACCCACTCCCGAGCCTTATTTCTAATTATGCTCTGGGAACTCAAGGCATTTATATATTTGTCTTCTGACTTGAGTGAGAAACCACTTAGGTTACACAGAAAACAATATTTCTGCCCATCAGCTGGAAGAACCACTGGAATAGGATCTTGGTTTGCCATCCTTTGGAACCCCACAGGAGTTTGCCTTGATTTTTCAGAAAAGCTGACTTGTAATTGCAAGTTGATGTCTGCAGCTGAGGAGATTATTAAGCAGGCAACTCTTGTTTCCCCGTCAGTCGAGAGAGGCCCATGGTTTATGGCATAAGAAGGCATCTTGATCGAGGCCTGAGAATTAGAAGAACTTGATATCTCTGGGTCGAAATGACCTTTATTTTCAAAATGTCCGAGCCCTTTCTATGTGGAAGAAGCTGAGGCTAAAAGCAAAATACTTTATAATAGGTGTCTTAGCCAGCATTCTGAGTTTTGGCCATCACTGATCCTAGGGAAAGTCAACCTAAATTGTGACCCTTGGTCATTTGCTGAGTCAAGGCAAAAAAGAGGTTGGGCCAGGACACAGAGACAATTAAAACTTCATGCAAAGTTATTCATTTGGGGTCAGTCATTTGTCTTATTTGGAAATGTCCTTGTTGTATCAGGGGGAGATATTCAAGCCATCTTCCTAGTAAATTATGTGTATTTTGAGTTCCCAGAATAGAATTTCTTGATGTTCTCTCAAGAATACATTACAACCTTCAGGTCCTTCCTGTCTCCGTCTGCCATTGGAAACTGTAGCCACCAAGAGAAATCTTTAATAACCCTGTCAGCTCTCCCAAAGGAGATTAGTTTTCAGATGTGAGAGCTTCCTGCTTCACATGTAGAACATTGGTCGTGGGTCTTCCGTTCTTGTAGGCAGCACAGCGACTTGAAACATTCTGTTGTAGGAACTGAGGATGAGTGCTGAGGCCAGAAAACCCACAACTCTCAAAGCACTGTCTGGATTGGGCCACACTATTCAGCATGGCTACAGTTACCAAACTATGCTAGCGTGAAGTCACTTGGAATTTGGAGTAAACTGCCAGTGGCTGTGGGTACATGGTTTGGCTTGTACATTTTAGCTGGAATGGTTACTATCTATAGCACTTTATTTTGTAAAAGCACAGCTTGTGTTTCTTCCTCCATCTAGTCAGAGGAGGCAGAAAGACAGACCTTTGTGTCTACAATGGCACCACTGCGTTAGTAGACACAACACAGATCACTTGCTAAATCTCAGTACCATAAGCTGTCTCGGAAAACCAAAGCAAATTTGACATTCAGTTCTACCTGAGGCAACACTGCATTGATATTAGTTCAAGTGGAGATCCCAGACCACAATCCCACCCCAGACAGTCCTGGGGTGGCCAATAACCAGGCCTGCAACAAACTCGGCCAACAAATATGACAGATCTCGTGCGTTGTATGTGCATGTGGCTAGATCATGAAAAAAAAAACCATAAATAGGAAGAAATGAGATTGATTCACCACACCTTTTTCTTTGTACACCTTCAAAATTACTACCTAGAATATTGGGCTCAGCCATTTCTTGTGTTTTTATGTAGTTGGTATAGATGCATGAATAGTTTTCTCCACTGGCATAAAGATATACCCTTCTATGTTCCCTGAATTTCCCATACATATGCAAACCATGTCTTACATGTTTCCCAAATGTGATTAAAGTGATGGAATCACCACCAAGCTGAGTGTTCCACCCCAAATTTGGAGCTAATGATCAGGGGAATCATTGCAGAAAGCAAGGGCCAACCCTCTGGTCATGCTCTCAGCACTGTCCTGCCCCTGCAGGCTGCACCAGAAAAGATCCGGCTACTTCCCAACAGCAAGCCCCCAACCAGCCACCCAGCCAGCCGCAAGTTACCCTGCGTCTCCGTCTCTCTGCTCCCTTCATCTTCTCATAAAGCAGTTTCTTGTTCTAGAATAGGAAAAAAAAAAAAAAATAAAACACAAATGCAGGAATATGGATCAAATTTGGTGAAGTTTTAAAAGTATTGCTTGGTGAGTCCCCTGGATATTTGCATATGCATATTTTGGAAACAAAACTAGATGAAAGGAATGTTGTGTCAGAAAGATAAACCACAAGAGAAAAGCTGGTGGCAGTGGTGCAGCTTTTAATAAAGTCCTCTGCAATGCCCCCAAGGCACACCAATGTCACCAACAATCTCATAAACAGGAAAATATGACATTCCAAAACACAAGGGTGCTGGAAACCCATCTCCCCAGTTTGAACAGTCTTTGTTTAAAATAAATAATTCTATCTTTGTCTCTCACCTTCTTTTTTATGAACTGTACCATAAACTGTTCTCTAGCGCAGTGTCTGCCCATTAACCGCAACCCTCCGTGTAAAGAAACGAGACATTCTGACTTCAGCAACCATCCCTTCTGTGGCTAAAGTCAGCTCCCCCCGGTCAAGACAATCGGAAAACCATTTGGTTTATAACATTTTTAATAGAGTGAGCCTTTTAAAAACTGCCAAAAACCTTCTTGGCAGAAGGGAAAGTTCTCTTGAGGGGGAGGGCTCTGTTAGCGCAGTTTGCATAAGCGTTTCCACATATTGCTGTGTTTCCAACACTCAGTGACTTAAAGGAGCTCTGTGGTATCAGACACATGCTCCACAGATTTCCCTGCCATTGCGCTCTACCAGACAAAACACTTATCCTGAAGGCAGAACAGGAGAAAGGGATGTGGGTGTTTTACTTGTGTTGCTTTGTTTATTTGGTGTTTTCATCAGAAGGGAAATAATGTATAAAAGAGGTGATTCATCTTGCTGTAGATAAAATACCTTGACATTGATTTAAGGTGGAAAAGAAGAGGGAGAGAGACAAGAGCTTTGGTAAGCAACAAGTTTATACAACCCCATATCCTCTAGGCTGCCTGGTTATAAAGACTTTTTAATGGGAGTTTTGAAAGCGAAAATGACAAGTGCCAAGATAAGCCTCATCATTTTCATGTTCATTAAAATCCACCCCACCTGCAATTTACAATGCGTGTCTGTTGCCCAACCTCAACTATGTAGGGAAGCTGGGCCAGAAGTGAAGGAGTCTCCACTGCCAAAAACACCGGTACTGACTACAGACTATCTCTTGCTTACTTGGGGAATGGAGCAATTTAACGTCACTAGGGAGAAAAGGCACATGTGCAGATCATTACCTTGACTAACAAAGATGCGTATTGCTATGAAGCTCACTCTCTTTAGTGAGTATTTGTGTTTCTATGAATGTGACACCGTTACACACATAATGGCTTAGGAGTTCATGCCCGATCTGCAGAAGGGTGGCTGATGGAGAAGAGATGAGGGCATTGTTTCTTCATGTGCACCTGCATGTTCAGCTGCCTTAGCTAAGTGGGAGTATGGAGGGGCCCAAGACTTCTTACTGCCTATCAACGCTGGTGTGTTCCACTGTGCCACCAGCAGTGTTAAGGTAGCATCGTTTCCATTTCCTCCAGAAAATCCATAGAAGACTTCATTCAAAAATAGGTGCAAAAGGTTGGGCAACTGTTCTTCTTAAAGTTGGTCCCTGTTGTCCCTAACAGCTAGTGCTAGAATGAGGAGAGTGGTCCCATCTTAACGATGTTATTTTATGAATTTAAAAGCAGATATTAACAAGCATAGCATAGGTTAATTTTTTTTTTAAAGTATGCAAAGTGAAAAAAAAGTATGCAAAGTGAGTCAGAAGAAAACAGCCATTTCTTCTGACACTTTTCCTGGGTGACTTCTCGGGGAGTGGTGAGCCTGTTTTCTGTATGAGCAGCAGGTTAACAATGAACTCAATTTCATTCAAAGGGCTTTCCCTTATGCCATCAAGATTTTGGGCAACTTCCCATTCCTATGAACCAGGGAAGGGGAAGAAGGAGACTTCTTGAAGGAATATCTCTGACTCTAGAACTAGGAAAGAAAAAGTATAAAGATGAACGCATTTAGAATATCTAATTAGATTAGAATGCTAGAAAGTACTCAAAATTATGGAATCACATCAAAGGAAAGTAGAATTAACTCAAAGAGACTCCCAATGGCCAAGTCTAGGACACTTGGAACATCAAAATAAGTAACAGGGATCCATGGAACAAACACATTTATAAATAAATAAGAAAGCAGGGGAATCCCTGCTTAGAGTAAATAGCACTTAGTAGAAGCAGAAAGATTGGTGAATAAATCATATTTTGAAATTACTACAATTAATTCTGACAAGCATTACTAATGTATCTAAATGTGATAGTTAAAGGTTAATTACGGAGTAGGGGAAGCAGTACGGTGGCTCAATTTGTTAATCCTCCATCTTTAAGTGCTAACATCCCATATGGACTATGGTTCCATGTCCTGGCTGCTTCATTTCTTGTCCAGCTTCCTGCCTGGGAAAGCAGTGGAAAAAGGCCCAAGTAATCGGGACCCTGTACTCACATGGGAGACCTAGAAAAGAAATTCTAGGCTCCTGGCTTAGGATTGGCTCAGCTTTGACTATTGCAGCCATTTGTGGAGTGACCCAGTGAGTAGAAGATCTTTCCCTACCTCTCCTTCTCTCTCAAAATCTGCCTTTCCAATAAAAATAAACACATCTTTTTAAAAATGGTTAAGTAGGGACCCAAATATTTACACAGTCTCAAAATACTTTTCCACAGACTAACTGTTAATCTCAAAGAAGACAGATCATTGTCCACGGGAGAAATGGTAGACACTACTTTAACCGAGTGAACAAAGTTAACACTATCAATCATGGGACAAACAGGCGTCACAAGCTTCCTGCCATCAAGTATGCAGGAGCCCATACCAAAGAAGGAAACCCAAGACAGACCCAAACCGAAGGGCTTCTGACTTTTCAAACATGCTGGTCCCTATCCCATGGCTCAGGCCATCTAGCTATGACTAGCTCCTGATGAAAAGCATTTAGAAAGGGGAAATGTTTGTCCTTTGAGACAGCTTTTGCAGTTAGCATATAAAAGAAGGTGGGAATAATGGACATCTATAGTGTCCAAATTTCATGTATAGCTTCTCAATGTGGTAGATACATTTTCTGAAAAGCAATCAGCCCTCAATAGGACCTGATAGGACCTCTTGTCAGGACACATTCTATCAGGGAGCTAAGAAAAGACAGAGCATTTACTCAGCTTTTAAAGCACTCTGGAACCAGAGGGTTGAATTCACATCTCTACTCAGCCAATCACCAGCTCTGTGCTACTGCACAGCCTGCTCAGCTCCCTAAGCCTACATCTCCAGTGATAAGGATGGGCAGATCAAATGTGATTGTAACAGTGTCTGGCACCTAATATGTGCTCAATAAATAAATATTACTATTCACTATTGTGTCATGTAACACCATTACCGTTACTCAGTTCTGTATTCCCATTACCTAACACAGGGCCCAGAAGGCATATGATGCTCATTTAATAAATATGTCTTGAAACATTAACAAACAGAGTGGCATGAAGGAAATAAGACAGACACTGATGTTTATAATATGTGAATCATTGCTAAAGATGCAGTTCAGTTCCAGTTAACGTCAAAAAGAGGGAAGAGTTGTTAGCAAATAATGAAGCAGGTCTTGCATGTAGTTCTACTGTAAAAAAAAAATGACTAGTTTTCTAACTAAAAGTATGGATGAGCTGAAGACAAAACAGAGTATTGTTGTAGACAAATGCAGAAGAAAGTTTATGGGTCCCACCCTAGAAAAGCAATACATACTCAATTTACACAGCCATGTGAAGAGTAGGCAAACCATTACTAGGTGGTAATGGGAAAATAAACAGGGAAACTTAAGTTTAAACAAACACATAATTACAGGTGATAAAAGCTGTGTAAACATTGAGGTGTTATAGTACTTTCTTTTTATGTATGGTCCCAACCTCAGTCTTGAGCTCTGATGTAGAATGAAGAAAGAGAATCAGTGAAACACAAATCAGTTTAGAGAAGGAAGCAGAAAGAATGAAGGACAGCAATTGACCCTGCACTGTAATGCTAGGAATGAGTGGAAGAAATCTGTAAAAGTTTTCAAGAAGAGGAAAGTTAGTAAGAAAAGTTCCCTTTGCAGCAGTAGAAAGTTGATGCTATTGGTGTCACATAAACCTGGCATATATACGAGCCACCTTTATGCCATGTCTTGCAATAGCCACTCCCTTTGAAATATCTTTAATTCTCATCTTTCTACATCATGTTTTCAGCCATCATAGCTAGGATTACCTCCTGTTTTAGTCTCTTGTTCCTCTATGTGACGCTTTAATATACCATCAAGATCATTAAAAAAAAAAAGTTTTCTTAAATTTAGTCCTACATTCAATAGCATGCTGATTTTCTTCCATTTTATTCAACATTTTTAAACTCTCCCAGTAGCCATGAAAATGGCTCCAGCAAGTAATACTAGCTGAATGTCAGTGGCATTTCAGGTTAAGCATCCATTTGTGGTGCTGGCATCCCACATGGGTGCTCATTCAAGGTGTGGCTGCTATACTTACAACCCAGTTCCCGCTTAATGGGTTGTGACAGCAACAGAGAATGACACAAATGCTTGGACTCCTGGAACCACATGGGAGACCTGGAAGGAGCTCTAGACTCCTGGCTTCCCAACAGTCCAGCTCCAACTGTTACGGCTCATCTAAGAGATAACCAGCAAACGGAAGATCTTTCTGACTCCCCTTCTCTCTGTAAATTTGCTTTTAAAATGAAACAAAGCAAAGCTTTAAATAGAAAGAAATACTAGCTAATGGAACTGCCTATGAAAAAGAAGAGAAACAGAAACATTGAGGTGATGAGTGATGAGTTGTATTGTTTGTAAAGGGGATAGTACATGTGGAAGGCAAAGAGAACTGGGTCAGTGAGCACTGACACAGTTGCATGGGAATTAATGACTTCAGTAGTTCCCTCTTTGCTCAAGTGGTTTTCTACATCAGACTCCATAGGCCCAACCACAGGAACCAAAATGTATCCTATTCTTTGGTACCTTCCTTGGCACACTGTTGCAAGCTGTTAGGATTATCTTGAATTCCAACAGTCACATGGTGTGATCCCTCGTGTTATCTGGTAATTACATGTCCTGTTTATAATGTTGATAAGAACATGGAGTGGGTAGTACTGGGATGTAAAAGATACAGGGTGGAATTTCCTTTCCTGTTGACATGAATTCTTCACCAAGCTCCCTTTTGGTGATATTCTATTAACTGGGTTAAATCTCTCCACCTGTTCGAATAGGAGATTGTAAAGAGCTTGTTAAATATTTGGCTGAAGTCCAAATATATCATGCCCACTTCATTTCCCTTGTTTAGCTGGCAAGTAAATGGAAAATTCTGGCAAATTAAACAATACAATTCAATGGGCAGGACTTGTTTTTAGTACACTGATGTCAAATAGCCATCATCTCTCTCCTGAATGCTTAAACACAACTGATTACTAAAACCACTGAATGCATTTTAGAGATTTTTTTCCCTTTGTATAAAGCAGAATTGCAGGTATATTTCTAAGTTCTAGCATCCTTTTTTCTCTCAGTTACACAGACACCATCTCCTTTAGTCTAGAGGACAAAATAGCAATTTTTGTCAGAATTCTTTTATAAAAAAAAATCACATCCATTTGATAAAACCCAGTGTGGTATGCATGAATATTGGTGAGATTTTAGAATGTGTTAAGGCACAGGTTGTGGGGTAGGTCAGAGTAGAAGCTTCTGGAGATTGGCCTCTCTACATGGCTTTGATATAACTAGCTTGAGCTATTTAAAACCCTTCTCAGAGATTTTTGAAAAATCATCTCACACCTGTAGAGCTCCTCTCTACCTTGCATATCTTCAAAGCACTCACTCAACCTTATTAGCAACTGAGATCGTACTTACCCACTTGCCCAAACCTGGATAGTCATGTTCCGGATCAAAAAGATGCTGGTGCAACTGGAATTCCCGACTGAACTCTGCTGTGTCGGGGGTGTTTTCTAGACATCCGTCATCTACTGCAAACAGCCAAAAGTTTTTGAGGCATGGCCAACACACATTTACTATTATTCTCAGAGTTAATTTTATCAAAACAACCACACATCCAAAGGTCAGAATCTGTTTACATCAGCCACTCTAAGTCTCCTTCCCTCCGGAATTCAGACTCTGGTAGATGGGACTGACTATTCATCCCTAACTCCCACTCCCATGGCAGACACTTTTTGGCTATGCACCAAACCCACTTCCCTTTCCTCTCCAGCGCACAATTTGGCTGTCTTTCCATCCTTGCTTTGCAATCAGGTAGAGTCATAAGTTTGAATTTGAATCTGGTAGAAATGATGGCATTACACTTCTACTCTAGCCCATAGAAACCTCCCATATGATGTCCCACCTTCTGATCCATGTGCTACATATTGTCATCCAGGGCCATTGGGAGAGTCAAATGCAAAGATGGCAATCAGGGTTTGGAAGCTCCAATCCCACCACACCCTTGCCTACGTCTGGCAGGATATGGCATAAATGAGAAATAAAGTTCTTCATTGTATGCCACCAAATATGCTTTATCGTAACAGCAGGGGCTTCCTTAGCCAACAGAGTTTTGTTCCATAGGCATCTGCTATATCTTGGCTGAGCTCTTCAGAAAGCTCTTTGGCTTCTTGGATAGAATACATTGTACCACAGCAATCACCAGATGGTACTTTGTGGTGTATGTTATGACAGTAATAGCTTAAGCTTTGCAGTCAGACACACAGACCTCAAGGACCAAATCCGAGCTCATAGAGACTCCATGGTTTAAACCACTGCCTGCAATGCTGACCTTCCCTATGAGCACAGGTTCGAGTCCCAATGGCTCCAATTTCAGTCCAGCTTACTACTAATGTTCCTGGAAGAACAGAAGAGAATGGCCCAAATACTTTGTGCAACCCACATGGGAGACCAGGATGCAGTTCTTGGCTCCAGATTTTGGGCTGGAACAATCTCTGCCTTTGTGGCCATTTGGGAAGTGAATCAGTTGACATAATATCTCTCCCTCCCTCTCTACTTCTTCTTCTCTCTCTCTGCAGCTATCATTCAAATAAATAAATACAATTTTTAAGAAAAAAGCTTTTAAAAGGTTATTGCAAAGAAGAGAAATTATGGGAAAATAAAATGTAAATTTATTTTGGTGCAAATTTATTTAATTTATGCACAGTCAAAACAACAATAACAAAACCTTTGGGTTATTTTCCAAATGCTTGCAATTGCCAGTATTGGGCCAGGCTGAAGCTGGTGGCTAGGAGCTCAATGCTTATGTGTGGCAGCAAAAAGAGCCAATTATTTGTGCCATCACCACTGTGTCCAAGGGTCTGCATTAACAGGAAGTTATAATAATGAACTGGATCTGGGACTTGAGTGCAGGCACTCTAATGTGGGTCCTGGGTGTCTTCAATAGCATCATAAACACTAGGCCAAATGCATATGCCCTTAGTTAGTCACACCACACATTTTCAAAACTTTTTAAATCTCCCTCACATACATTTATTTCAAAAAAAATTCCACCAAAATAAATTTAATATTAAGTTCTATTTCCCACAAACTTTTTCAAGCACCTTTGCAGAGAGCAACTGGCACTAATAGGCCAATTAGTTTGCTTCTTGTGAGCTCCCTTTAAATGGCAGTTTATATGATGATCAATGTTGAAATAAAGCATGTCTTCCTTTCAAATCAGAGGAAGAAAGTTGTCCTTCATGCTGTTTTTATCTAAGGCCCATTATAGCTAGGCAAATGTTCCAAACATGAGGTATTTCTTTTCCATCTCTAATGTACATTATGGCAGCTTAAAAGGTAGGTGGGGAGGAGAATTTTTGCAGGGCTTGGAACAAAAAGAGGATCCTTTATCAAAGGGATTTTTAGGTAACAAGGTAAATAGTGGATAGAATTCTACTTATAATTAGCCAGGTTGTCTAACCCTTTGGACATTCTGAAGTCTTCCAGCAGCTTTAAGCAAACCATCTCTCAGTTCTCTGAAACGTAAAGCTAATAGGGAAGTCAGCCTTCTTAATAACTCTCCTTGTAGCACAAATGTATCTCCCACTTTTCATCGAATCAAGACGATTCAGACAGTCCTCATATGGCATCTTCACAACCTTTCATAACTTCGGGTGGTCCCAAATGGAGATGTAGAGAAAAAGCCCTGCTGTGGGAACTGAAGGGTTTCAAGACCTAAAAAAAAATGTGCCCTAGAATTCACATCCTTGCCCTGAGGTGGAGAGACGAGCTTTTGGGTAATGCTGCTCCATTCAGGATGAGTGGACCATGATTCAGAAAAGAACACGGCATGGGAGGGGAAGTCAATGTTTTATTCATGGATTGCTCAACTGTGCTAGGTTGTGTCAGGCATAATTGTCTATGAGGCAGGTCTCAAAAAATTTCTCACAAATAAAGCTACACTTGGCAAGTGAATCCCTTCTTAGAATACAACAGTAGAACAAAGAATGAGGACTCTGTTAGCTTAAATGAACGGACAGCAAAGGAAATAGCAAATATCAGCGATGACAAAGTATCATCTGCAGTTGAGATTTTATTGAACCCTGATTGACCTCCTTGATTGCCCTCCTCTCAGAATTTTAAGGGCATAAAACTAGGGCTGGATAACAAGGTTGGCTGTGCTTCTCTGTTTTCAGGACAACCTAGAGCTACACTGCATGTTTGCCTATGGATTTGATTGTGTCTTCTTTTTACAAAAGAAAAGACTGAGCCCCATGAAAATCAAGTTTAACATACTACTATAGTGGAGACCAGAATTCTAAGCTCTTAAACTTAGCAGCTCTTTCCATTCTCTTACAATAGTGTTCAAACTTTAGAGTGCTCCAGATTTGTGTGATGGGCTGATTCCAATCCAGATGATTGGGCTCCACCTTCAAACTTCCAGATTTGATGGGTCTGGGGTTGGACCTGAGAATCTGCATTTCTAACAAGTGTCCAGATGATGTTGGTGCTGTTGATGGTGGAATCACACTTCAAGAACTACAGCACTGTACTCTATCCATGAAACAGACCTCTGTAGAGATTGCTCACTTCCAAACTGAGCTGCTCTTTCTTCTTTTTCTTTCCAAACCCTACAAGCAAATCAAAGATAGCTGAAATGATCAGAGCCAGGCCAGGACTTAGGTTTTCCTGCCATCCTGAGCCAACAGCCCTATATTGGCTAAGTCACATTCAGCTATTTTTGTTGTTCCATTTCAAGATGGGAGCTCTGTACTGCACTGAAAACAGAAGCCTCACCCTAGACGTAAGGAGGAGCATTTTTTAAAAGAGGGTCTTTTAGCTAAAGCCTGAATTATGTTCAAGAAAAATCCAGGGGAGCCAATACTGTCACAATTTTCAGAGCAAGGCACTTTTGCCTGGATGACCTGGGGGAAATTATATCCCCAGGTTTAATTTCCTCAGTAATGAAGTTTGTATAATAAATGCCAACTATTATTATTACCATTAAGCTTAGGGAGAAAGATCACTCTTATGATGGCAATTAGCATAACCCCAAGGAGGGAGGTGCATTATTTAGTAATGACAAAGCTAATTATGATCGGATAACAATGAATGAATCTTAAATCTATTAGATGCTGAGATGAATGCTTTAAATGGGTAATTTCCTGTAATTTCTACATTGACCCCCATTTTGTACATGAGGAAACTGATGTGCAAAGTGATCAATTTATTTGTTTAAGGTCACACACATTGCCCTCGAAGTTCAACTCATATAATCTAAGCCTCGAGCCTCTGCCCTTAAGCTTTAAGGCAAGTTGCTCAAGGTCCAGTATTGTTGCAGCCCTCTTACCATGCATTTGGCATGGGAGCAGAAAAGCAGAAGGGTTAAATGAGTAACATGGGAAAGTTTCAACCTTCTTCTTTATCCAAATTCTTACCTTCTTGAACCCCTCTCTATGCCAGCCCCCAGTTTCCAAATAAACATGAGTTGAGGATAGTTGCTAACTAGGTGTTGGTCTGGGATAGTTGACATGCTTATTAATGGAGAAGAGAGCATTGATTCCTAAAGAGAGAGAGATGGAAGGGAAAGACGTGGTAAGGGAAATCATAGGTGTCTCTGAGCTCTTGAACTCTCAGGTTCTGGGAGAAAATTTCCTGCACTTATTAAAATTATTAAAATTTCTACTTATAAATGGGCTCATCAGAATAGAAATCACATTTCTGGAAACATTTGTAGCAAATGTTAAAATTTGTAAATCTCTCCCAATGCCTCTACTTGTCATGGTTTTCCAAGTGCATGTCCATTACCTGTTTTCCCGACGGGACAGGGATTGGGAGGGTCTGGGTAGCCCTGATCATCACTAAAGTCCTTGGGAATGTTGTCACCAGTCAACTCTGCCACGATGTTGGGGATGTTGCCAAACGGACCCAAATGCTGCAGACCTTCATGAGCTCCACCTGCCAGGAAATCAGAAGCAATTCATTGCTGTGCAGCTAAATTCATTCCAATTGATATTTATTCAAGCAAAGCACAGAGGCTTTGTACTGTAGGGAAAGAAAAAAAAATGAAATTGGTCTTACCCTCCAGTTTAGAAACGCAGTAGGAGATACAAACATATACTGTAAATACGTCATTTCTTCACAAGGCAAACTATATACATGCTGTAAAAAACTGTTCACTCAACATTTATTTGTGGAAAAAGGAGAGTCTGATTTGTTCTTGAAGGAATTGAGTGGCACTGACACAGACAGGTAAGGTCATGGAAGCTGAGCAGGGAAAGGGGACAACAAGGAATGATATTAGGGGCTAGAGTGGGAAGTCACTGGCACACAGGTATAGTTCAGGTATAGTTTCAGGTATAGTTTCAGGCTGAAACTATCCCACCCCCTGACATGACAGAAAAAATATTTGTGATCATCATACCATTACAGCTCAACCCATTACAATTTGGTATATGTATCCTTTTCTTCTCCGTATACTTTGGTCACAGATGTTCATTCATTTTTTTCATGTAATAGTAAAGGACAGGCATCTTTCCATTTGTTTAGTCTCAACTCCCATAATCAGAAATGGCTATGTAGTATTTTTTAACCCAATGACTGATTCACGACACAATAGTCATTCCTCTCTTATGAGACAGCCTTTCCCAATTTACTTAAGGCATTTAATATTTTCCATATTTTGGATTAGTTTTCCTCACGATAGATTCCCAGAAGTCAAATGACTCGGTCAAGGCTGTAAACACTTTTATGGCTTTTGATACTGCAACAGCAAGTTGTTTTCAAAGAGAAGGTACAAATTCACAAAATGACAGCAGCAAAAAGAAAAGTGAGAATATCATTTTTACAGCATCCTCACCAGCACTGAGTTTTACAAATATAAATTTTGTAGGGATTTTTTTCTAACTTAAAAAGACATAAAAATGCAATGATTTAGACAAATTATAAACATTTCCCTATTTATTTACTTGCTAGTTTTAATTTTTTGTATGTGTGCGAATTTTGTGTTTATGCTCTTACAATTAGGCTTCCCCAATCGGTTTGCAAAAACATTTTAAAAACAGACTTGTTTTCTTTTTTAAAATCTATTTATTTTTATTGGAAAGGCAGATTTACAGAGAGAAAGAGAGATAGAAAGATCTTCCATGTGCTGGTTCATTCCTCAATTGATCACAACAGCTAGCGCTTAGCTGATCTGAAGCCAGGAGCCAAGAACTTGTTCTGGTTCTCCCATGTGGGTGCAGGATCCCAAGACTTTGGGCCATCCTCTACTGCTTTCTCAGGCCACAGGCAGGGATCTGGAAGGGAAATGGAGCAGCTGGGATACGAACCAACGTCCATATGGGATCGTGGCACATGCAAGGCAAGGGCTTTAGCTACTAGGCTATTGTGCCAGGACACCAGTGATTCCCTTTGAGTCTGTCTTTTCTAATGTGCCAATGAGTCTGAGCTCCAGAAATGATGCCTGGTTCATAGCTGACTCTGGATAAGCCATTAAGATTTGGTTGTTAGTTGTTGTCCTTTTTCCAGAAGCTATCACTACACTTTGCTAGAGAGTACAAGGTTGCAAAAGGAAGAAGTTGGACTGTTGCATGAGATGGAACAACTACAGGTCAGAGAAACATCACTAACTGTCTGTATAGAATTTCATCTGAATATCCTTCCTCCCCACCAACACACACACACACACACACACACACACACACACACACACACACACACCACATGCTCCCACCTCCCAGGATAACAATCAGGAAAAAAAGGCAATAAATTCAGAAACAGAAAAAACAACAGTCCTACACGATCGTTATTGCTCCAAAACACATGTTTATTCTAGCTGTTTAAGACAAACACTGATTGGGGCCAGTGTGGTAGTCTAGTATGTTAAGCCTCTGTGTGTGGCACCAGCATCCTATATGAGTGCCCGTTCATGTCATGGCTACTCCACTTTTGATCCAGCTCCCTGCTAATGACCTGGAAATGCAGTCAAGGGTGGCCCAAGGCACTAGACTACTGCAAATGGGCCCATAAACTTTTTTTTAATAATAAAGTTAACAGGCTGTTGACTAACATTTTCTCCAAATATTTTCCCATGTTGTCTGACTTGGAATTCTGATTATTATTTTAACATCTTGTCAACACAGGTTTTAATATTTATATCATCAAATGCATTGCTTTTGTTCTCCTTTGAGGTTTCATCTCATCCTTCTCAGTTTACAAAGTAATTATTTCATTCAGAAATGTACCAATATTTGAATATTTCTTTTAGCTTTCTTGATGTATAAATTAACTCTTGAATCCATATGCTATTTATTTTAGGGTATGTAGGTTTATCAATGATCTCACCAGTGGTTTTCCAATAATTCTATTCTTTCCCATTACTTCATGCCTTCAATAAATACTGAAATGCTCCCTATTTACCCAAGCTTACTGTGAGCACCAAGATACAACTGCGGATATATAAACAACATGTCTTGCTAAACCTGCTTTGCTGTATAGGTAAATGCATGTCAACTTCTGCATTCTCTTTGTGGTAGCTTTCACATCCTGTAAAGTTTGGGAAGTTTCTTTTTCCAGCATGAGAGCACATCATTTCTTATAAGGTTTTCAGATTTATCAGTCCTGTTGGGACTCAAGAACCTCTCATGCACAAACACCTTTGCCATGAGGCCAGTTTATTTAAATCCAGAACGAGGAGGCTCCTTCTCTCTGGATGAGCACTGCACTTGCATTTATTTTCTGGGCTGAACCAATGCTCCTTTTGATTGGCACATTTTTTCCCTTTAGGAATTTTTTTTTTTAGATTTATTTATTTTTATTGGAAAATCATATATACAGAAAGAGAGATCTTCTGTTCACTGATTCATTCCCCAAGTAGCCGAAACTGAGCCGATCCAAAACCAGGAGCCAGGAGCCTAGTCTGGGTCTCCCATGCAGGTGCAGGATCCCAAGGTTTTGGGCCATCCTCCACTGCTTTCCCAGGCCACAGGCAGGAAGCTGGATGGAAAGCAGGGCTGCTGGAATACATTCAGTGGGATCATGACTAGATCCTCTGGTTCTGGCAATCACATTGTCTCTTTAAAGTCGCTTTGTGTAAGTTCTCATTAATGATATTTGATTAAAATTTATCAACATTACTTCTTTCAATTCCCGCCATATTGAAATGCATGTATCACCAGTTGCTGAGTTGTTGATTTTGTTTCCATTTTGTTATTTTTGTGATGACAGTGGGTAGCCTGCATATTTTCTACATTAAAATAATACAGCATTTGCTTTGTGGACTACCCTATCATCATTTTTTGTAAAATTTTCTCATGTGAATAGTTAAAATAAAGTGTTTGTATGAGCTTTGAATGTTTAAGTATAGCCAATTATCCAATCTTTTTTATTATATTAAGTCTTTATTCATCTTTCAACTCTTTATTCACTTATGGATAGATATTAAATCAAATACTCTTAGTAAGTGCTTGTCAGTCTCTTATTTCTTATTGTTTCCATGTTATCATTTTGATGGTATGCTAGTTGGCAAATCTAGGAATACAAATCTTTCATTTTAATTGTGTCAGTAATTTACTATTAAATAGAAATTGACAAATCGTATTCTAGTTCCTATTTCATCTATTAACTTGATACTCTGATTTCATTGATTTGCATTTGATTGATACATCCTGGATCACCTTTTTATTTCTATCCTTTCTGCATAACTGTCGTTGCATGTCCAATTCCTATTGGGTTAGCTACTTTCAGAGATGTTCTGGGATAAATATTTGTTACCCCACACTAATCCAAAAACTTCAAGGGTTAAACATACATAACACAACATGTGGTATTGACAGATTTGAAGTTTTGTATAATCTTGGCACTATAGTCACCACTGTGCTTGCTATAGGGCATGCTCTCTGAGGTGTCAAGACATGTCTCAACTTTTGAAAGCACCCTAGCATTATGTGCCAGGAATTATCCAACTTGGCTCAAGGGGGTTTGCATGTCTTAATGCTCCATTAGTAATTAATGAAGGGAGCAAACACAGTTTCTCTTATGGAAGACCTGCCAAGGCTCTGTTTACCTCTGTGCACCAGTGCCACTAAAATGAATGCAGCATTTGTTAGGAAGTAACAGATGTTTAGAGCAGCAGATGCATTAGAACACAGGCTCTTTTAAGACCACATTTAATGGCATCAAATGGAGAAACATTCTCTGAGGTAGGACCTGTGGGAGATGGGCTGAAGTAAAGAACGCTGTCCTTGGCACTCCAGGAGCCAGGGTTTTATAGACAACTAAACACACATTTAGAAAATAATTTTACCATTTTATAGTTGTGTTTGCATCCAAATGCCAGATATCAGTTTCATTATGTTTATATTATTTCCATTTCTTGCACCTATAGCCAAAGCAATCAAAACATTATATCATGACGCTGTCAAATCCATCTATCCGAGTCTTCTTAATCACCTTGCATGAACTGTACAAACTAAACATATATTTGAAAACTATTAATTATTCAATTTCAAATGACTTACTGAGCAAATACCACTCAGCATATCAAGACCTGAACCAGGTACTAAAGGATCAATGATGAACCAGATGGATTTGGATTCGGATTTTACAGTCCACAAGGATTCAAAAAGAAAAACAAAATGTTGCAATGAAGACATTCTTAAAGCACTTGGAATCTAACCGGGATGCTACCAATGTCACAGTGCTAAAAGCCTGGATCTGGTTCATGAAAGACTTCTAGAGAATCCATGACTGTGAAAGACATTGTTCCTGGTGCTGGCACTGTGGCACAGTGGCTTAAGCCACTGCTTGCAATGCTGACATCCTATATTGGAGCATCAGTTGGAATCCAATTGTTCTTCCAAACCAAGTCCCTACTAATGCACCTGGGAAGGCAGTAGATGATGCCCCAAGTACTTGGCCTACTGCTACCCGAGAGGGAGGCAAGGATGGAGTTCCTT